TACTTTAACTTTTCAGATAAGGCATCTACACTTCAGAAAGGTTAAACAAACATTGTGTCACTATAAAACAGAAGGAAAGTGACTAGCTCCCCTTTAAGGTAATAACCAGATGAATCTGGCTGTTTAACAAAGAAGAAATTCACACTAAGACAAAAGAAAGCCCAAGGTACAAAAAGACACCATGGCTGAGAAGTTGTCAAGGGCTTACTTAATGCCTGAGACTGAAGGTGTAAATTCAGATGCCCACAACTCTGTAAACAGACAGACACACACTTGTGCTCCCAGTCTGGGGAGACCAGTCCCTGGAGGTCACTAGTCAGTGTAAGAGCCAAAGTTAGATTTTAAATTTTAATTGCCATGCCTAAGAGATCCATGAAGCAGACATGCCTCGGATCTGTAAGCCCCTTGCCCAAGGACAGATAGTTCCTGAAATGCTGGAGGCTACTGTTTATAGGAGACAAGGAGCCTCCTGTTACCATTCCCTTAAACAAGTTAGTTTGGCCATCTGCACAGGGTGTGCTTGATCACACGTGGGCGGGAGGTTCACAGGCAGGAAATACATCAGTATGATGCTTGCCCCGGATTGAACCTGATGGGAAATGTGGTTACTTGTACGTTTTGCCTTTTTAAGCCCCTGTAAACTGTGGCTCAGGGCCAAATCCTAGGAACCTAGGTATGGACTGGCCAGAGCCCATCCGCTGGGCCAGATTTAATTACAGCTTGCTTTAAATTTTGCTTTAAACTACGGTAGTGGTCTTATTCTCTACCAGTGGAATTAACACCAGTCAGCCTAATCAGTCTGTGAATTCCAAGTTTTGAGAGAGACCCAGTCTGGAAAAACTTAAGGTAGACAGGGGATACGGGAGACACTTGACATTGGCTTCCACCCTCCACAAGTACAAGCATGAGCATGTACACACATGAAGACATGCACCACAAACACGCACATACAAAGAAAGGGGGGGGGGAATAGCAAACACAGAACAAATGGGTCAATGATCCAAAAATAAACAGCTGATGTCATGAAACTCACCAGAGAAAATGGAAGGCATATCTTCATAGCTCTGAATACGCAGTTGGTTCTTAGACCTGACAGTGACAGCAACAGCAACCAAAGAGAAATAAATAAAAAAGCCACCATGAAAATGAGAAACTTTTACACATCAAAGGACATTTTGGAAGAAGCAAAATAACATTCTACAGAACAGGAGTGAACATTCTCAAGCCACACATCTGATAAAGTTTACCCAGCTCCAAGGGCCCCAATACCCTTGTAGACATACACACAGGCACACACACACACTTATGCATGGAACTGACTTGTGAAGCAACCTTGTTTCTAATCTAAATTTAAACTTAAAAATAAATAATTATAAATAAATCTAAAAGCACAGTATCTAGAGCGTGTATGGAAGTCTAGACATCCTACAAATCAGCAACAAAAAGGCAAACAACAGAATTCTCTTCATTAAAGCCTTGCTCAAAAATAAATAAATAATTTTTTTTAAAAAGGAGTTTTAAGCACCAGTAAGACTGTTACTGGCAGTGGTTTTATTTCTTCATTGTCATAGTCAAATATGCAAGTTCCTCTTACTATAGGATATCCTGCCTATCCTAGAAAGTGGGCGCTACAAAGTTTATAAATATAATTTACCAGTACAAAGCTGAAACCATTAGAAAGAGCTTAATAACTGCCACCAGGAGACAATTACATTTGGAGAACTGACAGAATCTAAAGAGACTTGGATACACACACACACACACACACACACACACACGTTTCAGTAAATGTTTACTCCAGAAAGGGGAGAAGGGCTCCCTAAGCGGCTCCAAGCCTACTTTCTTTCAGGGATTATCTCCAAATCCTGCAGAGCATTGTGGGTAGTGTCACTCTATGCACTGCTACAGGAGATGCCTGAGCCATGACACATGGAGTTAGGACCAGTTCTGTGAGACACTGACACTGTCCATTGGCACTCAGACCTTCTGCATCTGAATACGTTATGTTAAAGCCTTGTTCCTTGGGGGCTAGAGAGATGGCTCTGGGGTTAAGAACCTTAGCTGCTCTTCCAGTGGCCCTGGGTTCAATTCCCAGCAACCACACGATGGCTCACAACCATCTGTAATGAGATCTGGTGCCCTCTTCTGACCTATAGGGAAACATGCAGATAGAACTTTGTATAATGATATATAAATAAATAAATAAATAATTTTTAAATTAATTTTAAAAACTTGCTCCTTGGCAATCTCACTAAGCAGCCTGATGTAGTTGTGTTCAGAGGACTGGGGATGCAGCTTTTCAGTCAACTGCTCTTTTTACCAGGGGAAATTACTTCTTCAAGGAATGTCAAGGTTCAGACTAAGGAATATCCCGCAACATTTGTTAGAGAAAAGTGGTTCTCTGGAGGAATCTCACTAAATTTGGCTAGGAATTTCTCAGCAGTGTCTCTTGGGTCATGTTGCTGTTGTTCATTTGTTTGTTTGTTTTCTAAGTCTCCCTTTCCAGTTTTCATTAATGAATCTATCCTGCAAACTGGTGTGGTCTACGGGCAGGTCCTCCTTCCTGGGAAAGGGGGTATTCTGGAAGTCCCCTGCCACAATACGCAGCCAACTCCTGTAACAAACCACTTGAATTAAACTGGTTCTGCGGCTGTTTAGGTGGATCAGGCATGACGGGGTCAGGACCCGCAAAGCAAATACTCACCCTGGGTTTCAAGGCATTTGTGGCAGCCTCTGAGTCTGAGCTTTGCCAGCTTCCACGACCCCTCAGAACAAGTGCTAGCATTTTCTCAGGCTTCCATTCCAGTCGCAATCCTTTCTCCTTTCAAGCATTTCTCTGTGCCCCTTAGGATGAACCCAGGCTCCTTCCACCCGAGGCTGACGGGGTGACACTGCTTCCACCCGAGGCTGATGGGGTGACGCTCCTTCCATCCTTCCACCCGAGGCTGACGGGGTGATGCTCCTTCCATCCTTCCCCCGAAGGCTGACGGGGAGACGCTCCTCCAGCCAGCTTCCTAGACTCACTGCCTCGTCACACACACACGCTGCCTGCACACCCCTCCCCATCCACAGCCTCACGCTTGGCATTGCACAGTCTAAGGTTTTCACAAATGTGTGATGACATGCATTCATCATCACAATACTGGAGCACTTTACCATTTTAAGAGCCCTGTGTCCTCGCGATTTCACCCTTTCCCAAACCTGTAACCACTGACCTGCATGCCCTCCTCTTTTATTGAATGGCATCTAGCGGGAATCACAGACTTAACCCTTTCCTGTTGGTTCCATTTAAGGCGCCTTCATGTCTTTTCATCATTTATAGCTCTTCTGTTTTCGGTGCCAAGTAATATTCCTTTATGTGGCTTACCACAGTCTATTCAGCCATTTTCCCCACTGAAAGACATCGTGGGTGTTCACAAGTTTTGAACAGTATGAATGGCAGTGCTTTAAGCATGTACTTGCTGTTTTACGTGGGCAAAGCTTTTCATTTCTTCTGTGGCTAGGAGAGAGCACACTTGCTGGATCATGTGGTAAGAGGAGGTTAGTCTGGGACACGTCCTCAGTGTCTGTACCTTTGTACCCCAGCATGGCCTGCCTTAGCCTTGCCCGCGTACTGTTTCAATCATTTAATGGGTTTTATTGGCTTGTTGTTATTTTTTATGTACACTGATGTTTTGCCCCGGGAACTGGAATTACAGACAGTTGTGAGCTGACAAGTGGGTGCTGGGAATTGAACCTGGGTCCTCTGGAAGAGCAGCCAGGGCTCTTAACCCCTAAGCCATCTCTCCAGGCTGCCTTGTTGTTATTTTAATTCACATTTCCCTGGTAACTGCAATGGGAAATATCTTTTCATGTTTACTTAGCACTTGTCTGTCTCTTTTGGTGAATTATCTGTTTGGGTCATTGGTACATTTTTTTAAAATCGGATTATTTGTGTTCTTGCTGTTAGGTTTTAAGAGTTCTTTGTATAATTTAGTGAATAGTCCTTCATTGGACATGTTTTTTGCAATATTTTCTCCAGTCTGTGGCTTGTCTTGTTCTCTGCGATAAGAAAAGAGCTATGATTTTATTCCAGAACATCAATACACATCAGCGAACACCTCATAGCATTGTGGTCACCTGGTATAGGTCACGTCTACAAGCATTCATGTATCACACATGTAAGTTACACGTGGCTCTCCCTGGAGCTCTGGTGGGGGTGCTCAGCTGAAGGAAATTAGGAATAGCATTAAGAAAAGAATCCAGTGACTAGAGGGCTTCTCACTGAGATGCCCAGCTGTGAGAGGGAAGGCTAGAGACTAGCTTTACAGCAGCCACTGACACAGAACCCATGCCCACAACTGCACCTGTCTCGGCCTTCACAAAGGATTATGGGATACCAGCAATACCCCAGTTTCTCCTCCCTCCCTCCCTCTCTCCCTCCTTCCCTTCTTCCTTCCTTCCTTCCCTCTCTCCCTCCTTCCTTCCTTCCTTCCTTCTTTCTTAGTTTAATCATTGTCTTGCTAGGTTGCCAATGGTCTAGCTATATAACCACTATGTGGGCTCAAACCTGCAATCCTCCTGCCCAGGCGGCCTCCTGGATTCTGGATTCCAGGCGTGCTTCATCATCCTCAGTGTAACATTCTTTCTTGGCATTGGTTTTGTTGCAGTACCTGCTCGGTGATGTTATTTGTAAGTTGCACACTGTTCCACATATTACAAATTTTTAGAAAAATCCTTGTAAGATACAGAATACAATGAGAGATCCAGAACTACTTTGTCAATTTGATTCTAACAAATAAATGAGTTTTCTTGTGGATTCAGCACACGGGGGAGGGGGGGTGGAGGGAGGTAAGTTTCTCTAAACGATAAAATGCCACGTTTTCCTCCTGCCAACATAAGGGCATAATACTTCCTTGTTGTTGCTAAAGGAAAATGACACATGCATTCTAAAAAGAAAGAAAGCATGCAAATGAGGTCACCTATTTCCACATTTGGGGCTGTGAAGTCATATAAATTTCTCCAACCGCTATCAGAAAACATCAAAGCAGCCGGTAGGTCTGAGAACAATCGCTTTTGAAGCAGCTATGCAACTCACCCTGTTCTGGATTGCGTGTCTGCTGCCAGGCCACCTGGCCCTGCCACTGTTCCCGGAGGCTGGAGATGTGAGCACCTTGCAGTGGGAACAGGCTCAGGTATCAGTCCTCTCCCCGGGGTTCTCTGGCCTCACCAGCATTACAAGTGTGTTTCTGAATGATCTGTCCGCCGGTGTCAGTGTGACAGTGCATGTTCTGTGTAACGTTCCTGGCTGGGGAAGCAGAGCACACTCCATGAAGAGCCCTGCAACCTGGCTTCTGGGGCCTTCCAGAACGCTGACTGAGTGCCACTTCCTCCATCAGCCGCCTGGGTGGGCTTGAGAATGTCATTCCACTTCTGACCTTAAATTTTCCAATTCAGAAACTGGAGAAGTATAGTATGACGCCCACAAGTGGAGCTAATATACTTGAAATACTACTCGTGCTCAGGGAATGGAAGGGTTGCTATTATTATTTGTTGTAACTTGGCATTCTTTTCGTAAGCTGTACTGGACTGTACCACTCGGGCTGAGGCCTCACGGTGAAGAGACGACCTACAGTCAGAAAGCACTAGGAAAAGGTGTGACTTCCTTGAGTGTCAATAGAAAGAAGCTTTAACACCATCTGTGCTCTGCCCACAGGGTTAGTCTAGCAGACAAAAAGCAAGACGATAGAAACGCGCATGCGTGCAGTGGTTGCAAAGCATAAATAACTCATATATAGTCTGCCGTTTGATCACTACCTCTATCCTGGGAACTGTCATCTTGATTCACAGTCTTGTTGCCAATAGAGACAGGCACAAGGACAAGATTTTCTAGCCCAGAAATTGTGTTTCTTTGAGTATATTGCTGATATGTATAATAATTAATAAGCATAAAATGTTATTTGGTAAATCTGATAATGACTGACAAGCTTTAAGCATGAGAAAAATAGAAGTATACTTCGCATTCAGCTTTGACTTTTTAAAGATCCGATGACAAACCAGATTTAACCACAAGGAATCACCAATGTTTAACTGGTTTTTACCTTACCAAATAGCATTTTTAGGAGTTTTGTTCCAGTTTTATTTCATGGTGCTCTTACAAGACCCTTTGCTTAGCACACAGATTATTTAATAAAAGGAGGTACTTATGTATTTGACGCCGGTCTGAGCCACATAGTGAATTCTGGGATAGCCTGTACTATAGAGCAAGATTCTATCTCAGACCAAAAGTAGAAGCAGACAAAAGAATGAAGACATGTCTTCCAGAGATGTCCCCATGAAGTCCACAGCTCCGGAAGAAATACAATGTCTGTTATTTATTTTAAGGAAAGAATTGATTCATGATCATTATGAGTGAGCAATAGGAATTTGTTGTGTTCAATGAAATAACTCACGTTCAACAAGTAGGAGGGTATAACGTTGGCCAATTTACTTTGGTAAATGCATAGTCCTGGGAGGTTTTCAGACAGATATCCACTGCCAGGAGCTCTGACCACAAATCACGTTCCCTCAGCCTCCAGCTGCACACTCCCCAGCCTCCAGCTGCTCACTCCAATCCTCCAGCTGCTCACTCCCCAGCCTCCAGCTGCTCACTCCCAATCCTCCAGCTGCTCACTCCCCAGCCTCCAGCTGCTCACTCCCCAGCCTCCAGCTGCTCACTCCCCAGCCTCCAGCTGCTCACTCCCCAGCCTCCAGCTGCACACTCCCAATCCTCCAGCTGCTCACTCCCAGCCTCCAGCTGCTCACTCCAATCCTCCAGCTGCTCACTCCCCAGCCTCCAGCTGCACACTCCCCAGCCTCCAGCTGCACACTCCCCAGCCTCCAGCTGCTCACTCCCCAGCCTCCAGCTGCTCACTCCCCAGCCTCCAGCTGCTCACTCCCCAGCCTCCAGCTGCACACTCCCCAGCCTCCAGCTGCACACTCCCCAGCCTCCAGCTGCACACTCCCAGCCTCCAGCTGCACACTCCCCAGCCTCCAGCTGCACACTCCCCAGCCTCCAGCTGCACACTCCCCAGCCTCCAGCTGCACACTCCCAATCCTCCAGCTGCTCACTCCCCAGCCTCCAGCTGCTCACTCCAATCCTCCAGCTGCTCACTCCCCAGCCTCCAGCTGCTCACTCCCCAGCCTCCAGCTGCTCACTCCCCAGCCTCCAGCTGCTCACTCCAATCCTCCAGCTGCTCACTCCCCAGCCTCCAGCTGCACACTCCCCAGCCTCCAGCTGCTCACTCCCCAGCCTCCAGCTGCTCACTCCCCAGCCTCCAGCTGCTCACTCCCCAGCCTCCAGCTGCTCACTCCCCAGCCTCCAGCTGCTCACTCCCCAGCCTCCAGCTGCACACTCCCCAGCCTCCAGCTGCTCACTCCCCAGCCTCCAGCTGCTCACTCCAATCCTCCAGCTGCTCACTCCAATCCTCCAGCTGCTCACTCCCAGCCTCCAGCTGCACACTCCCCAGCCTCCAGCTGCTCACTCCAATCCTCCAGCTGCTCACTCCCCAGCCTCCAGCTGCTCACTCCCCAGCCTCCAGCTGCTCACTCCCAATCCTCCAGCTGCTCACTCCCCAGCCTCCAGCTGCACACTCCCAATCCTCCAGCTGCATCACTCCCCAGCCTCCAGCTGCTCACTCCAATCCTCCAGCTGCACATCCCAATCCTCCAGCTGCTCACTCCAATCCTCCAGCTGCTCACTCCCCAGCCTCCAGCTGCTCACTCCAATCCTCCAGCTGCACACTCCCCAGCCTCCAGCTGCACACTCCCCAGCCTCCAGCTGCTCACTCCCCAGCCTCCAGCTGCTCACTCCCCAGCCTCCAGCTGCACACTCCCAATCCTCCAGCTGCACACTCCCCAGCCTCCAGCTGCTCACTCCCCCAGCTGCTCACCCAGCCTCAGCTGCACTCCCCAGCCTCCAGCTGCTCACTCCCCAGCCTCCAGCTGCTCACTCCCAGTCTCCAGCTGCTCACCCAATCCTCCAGCTGCTCACTCCAATCCTCCAGCTGCTCACTCCAATCCTCCAGCTGCTCACTCCCCAGCCTCCAGCTGCTCACTCCCCAGCCTCCAGCTGCTCACTCCAATCCTCCAGCTGCTCACTCCCCAGCCTCCAGCTGCTCACTCCAATCCTCCAGCTGCTCACTCCCCAGCCTCCAGCTGCTCACTCCCCAGCCTCCAGCTGCTCACTCCCAATCCTCCAGCTGCTCACTCCCCAGCCTCCAGCTGCTCACTCCCAGCCTCCAGCTGCTCACTCCCCAGCCTCCAGCTGCTCACTCCCCAGCCTCCAGCTGCACACTCCCAATCCTCCAGCTGCTCACTCCCCAGCCTCCAGCTGCTCACTCCCAGCCTCCAGCTGCCACTCCCAGCCTCCAGCTGCACACTCCCAGCCTCCAGCTGCTCACTCCCCAGCCTCCAGCTGCACACTCCCCAGCCTCCAGCTGCTCACTCCCAGCCTCCAGCTGCACACTCCCCAGCCTCCAGCTGCACACTCCCAGCCTCCAGCTGCTCACTCCCAATCCTCCAGCTGCTCACTCCCCAGCCTCCAGCTGCTCACTCCCAGCCTCAGCTGCTCACCCAATCCTCCAGCTGCTCACTCCCAGCCTCCAGCTGCTCACTCCCCAGTCTCCAGCTGCTCACTCCCCAGCCTCCAGCTGCTCACTCCAATCCTCCAGCTGCTCACTCCCCAGCCTCCAGCTGCTCACTCCCCAGCCTCCAGCTGCTCACTCCCCAGCCTCCAGCTGCACACTCCCCAGCCTCCAGCTGCTCACTCCCCAGCCTCCAGCTGCTCACTCCCCAGCCTCCAGCTGCACACTCCCCAGCCTCCAGCTGCTCACTCCCCAGCCTCCAGCTGCTCACTCCCCAGCCTCCAGCTGCTCACTCCCAGCCTCCAGCTGCCTCCCCAGCCTCCAGCTGCTCACTCCCCAGCCTCCAGCTGCTCACTCCCAGCCTCCAGCTGCTCACTCCCAATCCTCCAGCTGCTCACTCCCCAGCCTCCAGCTGCTCACTCCCAATCCTCCAGCTGCTCACTCCCCAGCCTCCAGCTGCACACTCCCAATCCTCCAGCTGCTCACTCCCCAGCCTCCAGCTGCTCACTCCCCAGCCTCCAGCTGCTCACTCCCCAGCCTCCAGCTGCTCACCCCAATCCTCCAGCTGCTCACTCCCCAGCCTCCAGCTGCACACTCCCCAGCCTCCAGCTGCTCACTCCCCAGCCTCCAGCTGCTCACTCCCCAGCCTCCAGCTGCTCACTCCCCAGCCTCCAGCTGCTCACTCCAATCCTCCAGCTGCTCACTCCCCAGCCTCCAGCTGCTCACTCCCCAGCCTCCAGCTGCTCACTCCCAGCCTCCAGCTGCTCACTCCAATCCTCCAGCTGCTCACTCCCAGCCTCCAGCTGCTCACTCCCCAGCCTCAGCTGCTCACTCCCCAGCCTCCAGCTGCTCACTCCCCAGCCTCCAGCTGCTCACTCTCCAGCCTCCAGCTGCTCACTCTCCAGCCTCCAGCTGCTCACTCCCCAGCCTCCAGCTGCACACTCCCCAGCCTCCAGCTGCTCACTCCCCAGCCTCCAGCTGCTCACTCCCCAGCTGCTCACTCCCCAGCCTCCAGCTGCTCACTCCCCAGCCTCCAGCTGCTCACTCCCAGCCTCCAGCTGCTCACTCCCCAGCCTCCAGCTGCTCACTCCCCAGCCTCCAGCTGCTCACTCCCCAGCCTCCAGCTGCTCACTCCCCAGCCTCCAGCTGCTCACTCCCCAGCCTCCAGCTGCTCACTCCCCAGCCTCCAGCTGCTCACTCCCCAGCCTCCAGCTGCTCACTCCCCAGCCTCCAGCTGCACACTCCCCAGCCTCCAGCTGCTCACTCCCCAGCCTCCAGCTGCTCACTCCCAATCCTCCAGCTGCTCACTCCCCAGCCTCCAGCTGCTCACTCCCCAGCCTCCAGCTGCTCACTCCCAATCCTCCAGCTGCTCACTCCCCAGCCTCCAGCTGCACACTCCCCAGCCTCCAGCTTTTCCTAAGGAAGCTTCTTTGGAAGTGGATCACAAATACCTGTGTGATCTGTTCCAGCTGCTTCACCCCCCTAAGTCAGGTATCTTTATGTAAAACAGAGGTGACAGCCCCATCCCCGCCTTACAGGGTGGCTATAACGTTTCATTGGAATAAATGTGGAGTAAATGTGTGCCTGGCCCGAGGAAGGGTGTCCAGTGCCTTTGTGACCTGACTTTCCACATGCTGACTGATGGTCCCCCACTGCATCCCAAGACACCTGGAGACTTTCAGACATCCAGTTACACATGGGAAGATCTGGGAGGGATCTGTTTTATTCTGCCACCTCCTCACGGGTATGCTAACCACAGAAAGCACCGAGGGTAGGAAGATGATAAGGAGAATCCAGACCAGGCCCGCCACCGGCTCAGCTTGTGACCATAACGAAAGCATTTGGATGCTGTCAGCTGTACTTTCTTCCTGGATGACTAATTTGGACCAGTTAACCTAACAATTAGCTGATTTCTTCTTCCCCTGTAAACAGCCAGATCGCAGCAGCACTTACACGGCTAATGGGCCTCAGATCTCCCCATAGGGTCTGTGATGCCCAACAGTCTTACTAGGTGCTCAAGTGTGTGCTCTCTCTCTCTGTCTCTCTCTGTCTCTCTCTCCCTCCCTGTGTCTGTCTGTCTGTCTGTCTGTGTTTGTATATTCATGTGTATGTATATGTGTGTATCTGTGCATGCTGTAAGAGTGACTCTCTCTTTCTCTCTCTCTCTCTCTCTCTCTCTCTCTCTCTCTCTCTCTGTGTGTGTGTGTGTGTGTGTGTGTGTGTGTGTGTGTGTAGGCCAGAGGTTGATATTGGGAGTCTTTAGTGACCTTCCTGTCTCTTCCTAGCATTGGCGTTACAGAAACACACAGTTTTTCACATGATCTGGGTATCAAACTCAAGCCCTCACATTTTTGAGGCAAGCTCTTCTCTGATCGAGCCTTTTCCCCAGCCTTTGCTGTGCTCCTGAAGAGAAAGTGGCACTTCCTGCTGCTCTAACAATAATCTCAAACTCTAGAAAGAGGGTGGTGCGTTTGTCCTCAAAGTATGTATTGAGAGTACACTGATCCTAAGGGATTCTTCTCTTCATCCTATGCAACAGCAGGTCAGTACTTCCTTGTCAATATTCCATTTCCCCTAACCAGAAAATACTTATTTAATGCCATAATAACAATGCTGTCTTCGAACAATCTACAACAACAGCAGGTAAAAGAGATGCAGTTTCTCAAATAAAAGATTCTTTACTCTCTGTCTACCAGAATTATCTTAGGAAATTTTACCTTCGTGACTCTAAAACAAAGGAGGCCAACAGTTTAGTGGTCAGTCTCAAAGAGATGCAGAAGTTCTTTGGCCTGCCTGTGACTGGAGAGATATCCCCCCGAATCGTGGAAATAATGCAGAAACCCAGATGTGGAGTGCCAGATGTTGCAAAATACTCACTAATGCCAAACAGTCCAAAATGGCATTCCAGAAATGTCACCTACAGGTGAGGCTTGCTTTGGCTCCTTCTGACGGAGGCAATGAAGCCCTTTTCCTGAGAATCCAAACCCTGTCTTCCTGTGTATTGTCAGAATCGTGTCCTATACGACAGACTTACCAAAGCCCGTGGTGGATCGCATCGTGGAGAAAGCTCTGAGAATGTGGAGCGAGCATATCCCACTGAACTTCATAAGGGTGCGGTGGGGGACTGCGGACATTATGATTGACTTCGCGCGGGGAGGTAAGGACGGCTGCTGTAAGGATTCAGGCATTATGCTGGCCTGCCCGTCACCCGGCAGAATGCACTCAGGCAATGCCCTGGTCTGCCCAGCTCCATGGTTGCGCAGTCGCCACGCAGGTGCAAAGGACCCCTTTAAAAGAAAGACCCCAGTCCACTTACAAACTCTTTCTGCTCTCTCTTTCCAGCTCTCTCTCCTGCCTCCTGCTGTTCCCCTGGGGCAAACATGACTTTTCCTGTCTCCCTCTTCTCTTCTGTCCTCCCTCCATGTCTCCTTACCTCTTTTCTCTTTCCTTCCCCCTCCCTCCCCTTTCTAATAAAATTTCTCACTCAAGCTCTGTCTACCTGACATGTTTGTCCCCTGCTTTGGTCACCCTCGCCCGCCATGGAGTCTGCCAAGGTCCCCACGTGTCCTAATAGCTACTGCAGTCTAATCCAGCGTGCTGCTTTATCTGTTTGCTATTTGTATCAGTGTCTCCTTCCAAAAATTAAACCCTCCTATGAGCACTACAGAGGGCCCTTATTGATGAAACACATGTTTAACATGAGAGGCCTTGGTTTCAATTCTCAGCATCTCTCACACACACACATACACACACTCACTCACACACACACATACAGACACACACACACACACACACACACACACGCTGTCTCAAGGTCTTGACTCCAGTGAGCCTTCCACACATGGTGGTCACCAGTGCTGAGCAGTAGATCTAATGACACACAGATGCCTGGACCGGATCCATATCTCATCCTGTGTGTGGGGAATTGTCTGTTGGTATCAGGTCAACTGACTGCATTGGCTTCTCTCTCCATCTTCACAGCCGTATGACTGGGAGAGACGAGATGACTGGAGAAAAACTGAGAAATTAACAGAAATCACGGTATTGTCTTGCAGATCATGGAGACAGCTTCCCATTCGATGGACCAGGAAACACTCTGGGTCATGCCTTTGCACCAGGGCCAGGCCTAGGAGGAGACGCTCACTTTGACAACGATGAATACTGGACTGATGGTACCGACACAGGTGGAGTGTCCTATGTCTCTCCTACAGCGTATCTTTTTAGAAACCCCAGACTCACACCAACTTTTGATTTGATCATCCCTTTAATTATAACAATTAGATATTCATTAAGTGTCAACTACTGCGGTGGATGCTGTAAATATTTTATCTCATTTAATATCTTCTTTTTAAAACATCGTGTGTGTGGCGTATGTGGAAATCCACATGGTATGAGATGACAGACTCTCACAAGTTGGCCTTTGACCGACATACATGTACTGTGGCACACGCACGGGCACACACACATACACACTCACCAAGTAAGAATAAATAAATAAATAAATAAATAAGACAACAAAAAATGAACCAGAGGAGGGTTTGGGCACCAAACTGGTCACAAGCCTGAAGGGTAAACTGAGGGCAGTTAGACCAATTAGCTGCACTTTCCTGGCCCAAAGCTAACAGGAGCTAAAAGATAAACTCATGATAACAATGAAATCAGCTATCTTGGCGTTTGGGTCTACATGGAACAGCTTCTAAACGACTATAAAATTAAACCCAACAGTAATAATATGCAGCGGATTAATGATGCATTCCTTAGTAGCCCAAGGAGGTGGACGCAGCGCCCACACCCAAAGCTCGGAGAACGTGCTTGTCAGGCCTTTCTCCACAAAAGCTCCCACACACGAGTTTTGGCAGGGACTGGGTCTTTGGTCTTCTCCAGGTCCCTCGCCTTGCTTCCCAGCAAAGCATTGTGGCGTCCTTGATAAACTGCTGTCGACTTTCTTCTGCTCTCCTTTTGGCTTCTTATCTGGGAGGTTGGTTTAGAGGTGTTCTTTATTTATTTTCATTTTATGTGCTTTGGTGTTTTGTTTGCATATGTGTCTGTGTGAGCAGGCCAGATCCCCTTGAACTGAAGTTACAGACAGCTGTGAGCTGCCGTGTGGGTGCTGGGAATTGAACCAGGGTCCTCTGGAAGAGCATTCAGTGCTCCTAACCTCGGAGCCACCTCTCCAGTCCCTAGAGGTGTTCTTAACCCTAGGTCACTGCACTGAAGAACCAAGGGTCTTACTATTCTGAGTGTGAAATGTCCCGTGAGCAGCTGTATTTGAACACTTGTTCTCAGTAAGTGGCACTGTTTAGGAAGGTTCTAGACCCTCTATGAGGGAAGCATGTCACTGGGCTTTGATGGCTTACACCAGCCACCTTACGTTTGCGTTCTCTCTCTCTCTCTCTCTCTCTCTCTCTCTCTCTCTCTCTCTCTCTCTCTCTCTCTCTCTCTCTCGGTGTGTGTGTGTGTTTACTCTCTCTCTGTCCCTCTGTGTGTATGTGTGTGTGTTGTCTGTATGTGTGTGTGTGTGCGTGCATGCGCATGCTTCCTGTGTATTGATGAAATCTGATCTGCAGATTCCTTTTCCTGTCACCCTCTGTTTCCATTACTTCCCTGGCACTATGGGCTTTTATCCCTCTGGAACCAGCAGCCAAAATAAACCCTTTCTTCCTTAAGTTGCTTTTGGGCATGATGTTTCATCACAGCAACAGAGAGGTCAGTGGTGCAGTCTCCTTCCAGCCCACCTCACTTTTGAAGGAGTAGAAGCAAGTCGCTGAGGGAGGCGGGGGTGGCTACTGTTCCTTCAGGACGTGATATAGCACAGGGCTTTCCACAGCTGTCTTAACGCTTGCCGAACACACTTCCCCGGCTGTAGGAGTGAACTTCCTGCGTGCTGCCACCCACGAGTTTGGCCACTCTCTGGGCCTGGGTCACTCCTCTGTCCCCAGCGCTGTGATGTACCCTACCTATGAAAAAGGCAACCCACAGGACTTCAGACTCACAGAGGATGACATTGAAGGCATTCAGAAGTTATATGGTAAGATTATGGCTTTCAAGAGGAGAATGTCAGACTTGAAAGAAAGATGCCATGAAATGTTTCCCTGTTTGCATAAACTTGTAGGGAAAGTGGCCATCCACAGATAGTAACAGCTATAGAAACCACTGCCCATGATACTTCTAAATGTCGTGGATCCCAGTCTCTCTTGGGATTACATTCCAAGATAAGGAAAAGACGGTTCAAGGAGAAGTGACTTGTACAGAGGGATGTGTGGATTCCAGGTGCCAAATCTGGTCTCTTGTCCTCAGGGGTTGTTATGTGTTTCTGCATCTTCACCTTCTTAAAGCAGCACAGACCCAACAATCCAGAATTACATACTCATCAAAACCTACTTCACACATAAATAAAGAACGAGAATACAGGATCACAGTCTTTGAATGATCAAAAGAGAGAGATGTACTCAGGGCAAATTATTCCTACAGGAAAAGAAATGGACGCAAGCATCTGCTGAACCTAGAATTCACTGTAGGTCAACATTTCCCAAAATGTGCTCCTTGGACAGCAGTTTGCAGAGGAAGCTACGGCAGCGGCAGCACGTCCTAAAGAGTGCTGAGCACACACCGTAATAGTTTTTGAGATAGGTTCTGTCTGTGTTGCTCTTGCTGTCCTGAACTTGCTACGTAGACCAGGTTGGCCTCGAATGTGCAGTGATCCCACCCCTCTGTTTCTCTGTTGCTGGAATTAGAAGCATATGCCCCACGCACCTCACCCAGCTAATACAGAGGGCTTTGGGGGGGGTTGTTTTGTTTTGTTTGATGCTGGGAATTGAACCTGGGACACTGCCTGTGTTTGTACGGATGTAGACTTTTCCTGTGTGATTTATGACACATCTTAATGTTCTTATTTTCTTCCTTAACAGGAAAGAGGAATGATTTTTGGAAGATATAGACACTCCAGGGAGACTGTGCATTCATTGGGTTCTGTCGCATTCCCCAATCAGAATGAGCAGACACCTTTCTGAACAGATTGTGACTCTTGCTTCATTCTTTCATGAACTGTGGGTGGGTTTTGCATATCCCTCTGAGGGTCACCTCTACTGGATGATCAGACTAGTCCCAAGTGACACTGAATTGACAGACACCAATAAATGTCACATGCACACATAACCCCATTGCTATTCCGTGGTGAAATTACTCATCCTTGAGAAAGCTTTGCAGTGACAAAGGATGATAAATCAAAGACAATGTCAAAAACGAATTCGGCTGTGTTACTGGAGGTTCTTCAGGTGCATCTTCACCAAATGGAGCAGGCAGACATGCCACATCTTGTTAGTCTTTGGTATGGCCCCAAGTTACGACACTCCCTTATCCTTGTGGCTCACTCCGAGTCTGCTGTGAAGGCACGTTCTTCCCACAGAACGCCCGAGTTCCTGAGGCATGTGGTAACAGCTTCCTGCTTCCTGCCCGCTCTGAGTTCCTGCCCCCATATCCCTCCTGGTGCAGCTGCATTCCAGATTCCTCTCCACGGCCCTCTGCCATACCAGATGTCACCAATCCAGATGTCATTGTCACCTTCCTCTTTTCAGCTACAACCCGATAAAAGAGCAAGTGTTGGTAAGGGGCGATGGCTGGGGTTTGCTGACTGATACCCTAGCTCTAGACCTGGATTCTGTTTTAACTGTGATTAAAGGCACATCACATGATAGCTTCCATGTTACCTGTAAGCACACAGTTTCGTACTATTGAATATATTTACATTGTTCACTTAAAAATATTTTTTGAGATAGGGTTTCTGTATCTCAGGCTACTCTAGACTCTCTATGTATCCAAGACTGACTTTTAGCCTCTGCTCCTCCTGCACCTACCTCCCCAGTGATGGACATGCGTGTGCCACCGTGCCTGGTCATACAGTGTTGGTGCTAGAACCCAGGAAGGGTTGCATGCTGGGCAAACATCTTGGTAACTGAGCCTCAGTCCCAGCAGAAACAAGCTCCCTGACCTCAGCACGGTTGGCATTTCCTAAACATTTAAATATTTCTATTTCACAGTGTATGAGTGGCTTGCCTGCATGTATGTAAGTGCATGCAGTGTCCCCAGAGGTCTGAAAAGGACATCAGATCCCATAAACTGAGTTATAGACAGTTCTGAGCTACCGTGTGGGTGCTGAGAACCGAACCTCAGTCTTCTTCGAGAACAACGGTGCTCTCAGCCTCTGAGCCATGTCTCCAGTCCCTCCGTGGGCGTCTTTGACCATGTGTTGTCATTTGTTCAGCAGTAACCTCCGACCTCACTACATGCCACTAGAGTACCCTCAGCTGTGGCTGTCAGAAATGCTCTGACATTGCCCAATGTCCCCTAAAGGGAGAAGCAACCCCCCCCCCCGTTTAAGAACCACTGATTTTTTAATCACTAAAAGAACCACAAAGGCGATTCTTACTGCCTTTCATGTTGTGCCCCTTGCGTCTTTCTCAAGGGCTGTGCTGGCTAGTCCATGACAACTGACGCTGGCTAAAATCATCTGAAAAATGGGAGCCTCAATTAGGAAAATGTCTCCATAAGATCCAGCTGCAGCCGGGCATTGGTGGCGCACGCCTTTAATCCCAGCACTCGGGAAGCAGAGGCAGGAGGATCTCTGTGAGTTCAAGGCCAGCCTGGTCTACAGAGCGAGTTCCAGGACAGTCTCCAAAGCCACAGAGAAACCCTGTCTCGAAAAACCCAAAAAAAAAAAAAAAGATCCAGCTTCAGGCACGTCTGTAGGCATAGTCTCAATCAGTGATTGATGGGGAGGACCCGCCCATTGTGGGCAGGGCCATCCCTGGGCTGGTGGTCCTGCATTCTATTAGAAAGCAGGCTGAGCAAGCCCAGATGAGCAAGCCAGTTAGCAGCACCCTCAGTGGCCTCTGCCTCAGGCGTCCGCGCCTGTCTCCAGGTTCCTGCCCTGCTTGAGTTCCTGTCCTGACGGCTTTTGATGATGAACTGTTGTATGGAACTGAGAGAGAAATAAACCCTCTCCTCCCCAAGTTGCTTTTGGCCATGGTGTTTCATCACAGCAAGGACAAGGACCCTGCCAGTCTCTAATCCTATACCGTCCCGTGGGACAGGAAAACCAGTATACAGTTAATGTAACATTGGCCATTTTTGAAGCTCATTGGAGAAATATGTTGCATTTTAGGGAATAAAGTAACCTGTATTCCAATGCCAAGATATGGATTTCTCAAGACTTGTTTTTGTGTGAGTGTGTGTGTGTGAGTGAGTGTGTTGTGAGTGTGTATGAGTGTGTGTGTGTGTGTGTGTGTGTGAGCATGTGAGTGTGTGAGCATGTGAGTGTGTGTGAGTGTGTGTGTGCACGCTTTCCTTCCCTTTCTCCTCATCCTCTGCTACTGGCACAACTTCTTCAAGTAAGCAAACTGTGATTTAAGAAGATTTCGGAGAACCTGGTCCTATAATGCATACCCCTGACGTGCATGTTCCTGGAACACTTGGGAAGTTGAGGCACTTGGCCAGTGGAGAAGAGGGGAAGAAGAGGGAGGCTGGGAGCTGAGAGGAAAGAAAAGGTCTGAGCACGTCCCTTGCCCTCCCTTGGGACATTCCATCTTCATAGCAAGGGGGAAGCAGACTAGAAAGGGAGGAAGCCTGCAGTAGGCAAGGAAGGACTGAAGGCATCTCTCCAGTGACTGAACCGCATCAGCCGCGGCCTGAAAATCCAGGACTCATGGTAGCGACTGCCAAGCGTGCAAGTCTGCAGACGCCTTGCTGTGCAGGCCTGGTTTCGGGGTAGCAGGGCGCTGGAAGCGGAGACTGAGTTCCGAGCCTCTGACCGCAACTGACCTCAGCTCATGTCCCCAGGAACAGTGTCAGGTATCCACCGTCACTCCCTCCCTCAGCAGATGGCATCCCAACCCACTCATGCATACTGACCAGAACACTAGACACAGCGTGGAGGAGCCCGAACTCGACACGGTGATCCAGTTTTAAATGTCAGTTCTCCGGCAAAACCAGTCAGCCGCCTCTCCCTTTGGGGTGGTCAGCCCCTTCTCTTCACGTCTTTCTTCTCAGAGAAGTACCCCTGACCTGCAGGAGACCTTGGTGGCCAAGTATGTCCTATCCTACCTCCTGCTATAGTCACTTGAAAAGGAACAGACACCTGCCCCAGGCAGGGCCAGCCAGGCACCTTCATTGGGGAAACACAAATTTCTACTCACTTATTCAGTGTGTGTTGTTTCCATGCTACAGGCACTGTTTTAGCCTTGAGGATGTGGTCCCGAACAAGAAATATGTGCGCATGGAGCAGAGAAACTTACCACAGACACTGAAGAGGCAGGCCTAGAGAGAGCCCATGGGCTGGCTCACCATGCATCCACAGCGGGGGTGGCATGGGAACATCCACAGCGGGGGTGGCATGGGAACGCCACAGGTCCTTTTGTTGGTGGCTGCTGGGACCCCAGAAGTACAGTGGGCTTCCCCTGCCCAGTCATCTTTCTCAGTGTCATTTGGATTTCCTAAGAGGCAATCGTGTCTCTCAATACTTCCCTTTGGGCTACTCTAGGACATGGCTTCTCCTATAAAAGAAAAGGCCACATTGGGCAGTGTTCTCTGGAGCAATAGAACCAATAAAGGCGGGGTGGTCCAACAGTGGCCGTCCGCACGCCTGGGCCTCTGAAGCTGGATGACCCCGCTGGCCCAGTCCATTGCTGGAGGCTGCTGGATTGCTGGAGAGTCACTGCTGTGCAGTCTAAGTTGGAAGGCCAAAGAGAGTTGCTCTCAGCCAGGGAGGGCAGTGGCGGGAGCGAGGGACATGCTCACTCTTAGAGAGGTTGCGAGGGTGGGTAGGCCCACTCGGCTCTTTCCTCGGACCTCTGAAGGTGCCTGGCTGGCCCTTGTGTCAGAGCTGCCCGTCGGAAAATACCACCACTTTAAGGGCCTTCCCACCTAGTTAAAGCTCTCTAGAGATAGCCAGAGATGTGTCTCCTAGGTGATCCTTTAGGTGTGATGAAGACATCATGTCTTCATCTCCTCGCTAGCTTCCTGTACCATTCTTGTCTTGAAACCTTCCAGAAGAATAGAGCCCAAGAATACAGAACAAGGAAGACCAGATCAAGCGGTTGAGGTGACGCACAGTGGGTCCATCGCCACCCCCACCCCGTGCCCAGTGTGACGCTGACCACCGCTACCCTTGTGGTGCTGTTATTAATGCGATAGTAACGTATGGAAGAGAAAGAAAACGATTGTGTCTTAACTTCTGGGTGAATACTGCCCGTGTTCTACTCCCCAAGGAAGACCTAGAACTCCCCGAGTTCTCTTTGAACGGATCGCCATTTTCAGTTTTGTCACTTGTTTTATGTTGTTGTTTGAGAGAAGGTCCTGCTGTGCGTCCCAGACTCATCCTGAACCCTTAGGCAGTCCATGCTGGCCTCAGGCTCAACGTCCTCCTGCCTGCTTGCTGAAGGCTTAGATTTGCACCACCATGACCTGCTTACCCTCCCCACTGCCCCCACCGCCAGTGCTAGGGGTTGGTTGAACCCAGGGTCTGAGGCATGCCAGGCAAGCAGGTTACCACTGAGCTACAGACGCAGCACCCATCCTATGTTATAATTCCCTCATTTTATAAAGTAGAATTTGTGGTCCTTCCACTTCCAAAATTTGATGACCAATTATTAATCATAAAATGTGGTCTGGCAGTTAGAAGAGGCTGTCACCAAGTCTTCCAACCTAAGTGCGATTCCCCTGGACCTCTTTTTAGTAGAAGGAGAGACTTGACTGAAAGCTGTCCTCTGACCACTGCAGGCATTCTCTCCCTCCCTCCCTCTCTCGCTCTCCCTCTCTCTCTCCCTCTCCCTCCCTCCCTCCCTCTCTCTCTCTCACAAACACACACACACACATACACACACACACATGCACACACTCACACACTCACACTCACACACACACTCACACACACACACACACACACTTTGGAGAGATTTGGAGCCAGGTACCTCAGAAAGGAGGAAAGCTGAGTGAGCAGAGAGTCCTGGCCATCAGGCTTGGAGCAGGAGTATCTGCTTCTGCCAGGTCTTGTCAGCCTCTCCCGGGTCTAACCCTCTCCTGGTGTCTGTGTTGGAAGACCAGAGCTGACACCAGAAGTGCCCAGTTTTCTGCTATTGGATGAAAACGACTCTCAAGAGCGGCTCCTGAGAACAGCCATGAATTCCATCTGAGCAGTTCTGAGGCTTGGGAGCTCAGGCCCGGGGGTGGTCCTGCTGGTCCTGGTCAGATCAGCAGATGGCTCGCTATGGAAGATTCCTGAGCCTCACTCTCCTGTCTGCTCTGCCAGCAGGAAACTGCAAAGCTGGGCTCAACTGGGACTGTCAACCGCAGTGCCCGTGTGTGGCATCTCTGGCATGCGAGAATTTTTTAAATATGTATTTGCTTGTTTGTTTATTTAATATGTATTTAACATGTATGGATGTTTGGCCTGCAGATGTGTTTACACACCACACGTGTTCCTGATGTCTATGGAAGCAGAGGGCATCAGATCACATGGAATGGGAGACGGCTGTGAGCCAGCTCGTGAGTGCTACTAATTGAATCTAGGTCCTCTGCAAGAGCAGCCTGTGCTCTAACCACTAAACTATCTCTCCAGCCCCCCGCCATCAGGGTTTAATTTTAGTATCTCTTTGGATGTGCCTTTGCCTTCACACAGCACCACCTCTGCCATACTCTGATGGCAACAGAAGCAGCAGACATGTCCGGAATCGAAAGGAGGTGGTCCACACTCCAGTTAGAACAGCAGACGCATCCATTCTCAGCGATGCTCTGAACAGCCACACGGGGTCACCCTTCCACTTATGAAAACGCCTGCCATTTAAACCAAGAGGCATTTTCTAAACCAAGAGATTAATTCTAACCCAAAGCATGCTGGCTTCAACAGACATTTGTGCCTTGATTTGTCATTGCGGTCCAGCCGCCAATGCCAGAAAAGGACAGGGACTTGGCGCTGATGAGAATGTCCTGCTAAGTCTCTAGGCCACAACCCTTATGAAGGGAGACAGCACGGTTTTGTCGGTGGTGCATTTCCTATTGCTCTGCAAGTGCAGAACGCGGTTTTAAGACACAGCCCCTGGCCGCGGATTCGCCGATCACTTGGAGTGTGTGAAAGGGCAACTCCTCTGGGTACCAGCAAGCATGGGGACGAGGGAGACCGGCACTCTGGCCTGGCCTCCATCTAAGGGTCAGCAACGATCTGCTTGGTGCCTTCTGAAGTTCAATTGCTGAGAAAGAGACATGGAAGTGATGGGCTGCTGTGGGTAGGACTATTCTCCCAGCCAAACTGCCGCCATCTCCAGGAGTTCAGGTGTGCCTCCTCTAAAGCAACCATCACAGCCAGGTGGACTGTTCACAATTCCCTCGCAGAAAGGATCACGGGACCCTCGCCCGAGAATCCATCCGTCCCTCCCCACCGGCTGTGTGTAATTCTACCCTGATTGCGCATGGTCTCAGGGAGGGAGAAAGCACTGGGGCACGGGGCTGCGTCCACCTCAGTGTGGGGGAGTCAACGTCCACGCTGGGTGCAGATCTTCCACACCGAGCTCCTGCCTGTCCCCGCTCCTTGCTCTGTAAGGGTCCCCAGGGTGAACCTGACGGTGTGAGGCCATGAGTTTGATTCCCAGCACGGAAAAGTTAATAATTATTAACTGATGCGTTAAGTGCTAAAGGAACCACACAGCTAGGCTTGTGGCTTGCTGACAGACCACCTACCATACTCAAGTCACCGGGTTTGACCAAACTGCCTTCCAAGTGCTGTGATGGGGAAGACCTGTGTATATGTCAATAAAGTACTGTTGGCCAATAGGGAAGCAAGATAGGTGGGACTAGGAGTCCAGGAGGACTCTGAGTAGGAGAAACACAGGGAGTCATGATGTAGCCCGCCAGAGAAGTAAGATGTCTGGAACTTTTCTCCGGTAAGAGAAATACTTAGATTAACAGTTATGGGATAAATACTTAAGTCAGAGCAAGCCAGTAAGAAACAAGCAAGGCCAACAGCTTCATAATTAATACAGCGTCTTGTGTGTTATTTGGGGACTACAACGCTGCAGAGCCCAGGTGACTGGGGAGGAAAAACCAAAGCGGCTGGCAAGGAAAAGGCTTCTCTCTACAATGCTGGGATTAATTAAAGGCTTACACCACCACACCTGGTTTACAATAGTCTTTTAAAATCTGGTGTCCTTTACCAAGTCACCATCACAAGGATTAGTCAGTTTCCATTTGGTGAGGGAAGATTCATCATCCCAGGGATTGCTGGTGGGGAACACCAAGTTTCTGCTGTGCACTGAAGCAGTGTCTCATGCGGCCCAGGCTGGCCTCAAACTCACTGTGAAATGAGTTCCTGGCCCTCTTTCTCCTACCCCCAGCATGCACCTGGTTTGTGAGACACTAGAGATGGGCCCCAGGTTCTGTACCTGTTAGACAAATGCTCCCCCAACTCCATCCCCAGTTCTCCCAGTTGATTGCAAGACATGGTAGCAGATTCTAACCCTAATGAAGAAGTGAAATTTCTTAGAAAATGTACCAGGGAATTCCCAGAATCAGAGAGAAGACCAGAGAAGCAGGCTCAGAATATGAGGTCCCGAGGGGGACCTGGCAACCCAACTGAGCTAGGCTGTGGTGCAAAAAGCCAGATTGGGGTTCTGTGTGGGCGACCCTGCCCTGCAGGGAATTCTTCCGAATACCCCCGCATACCACGTGCTAGACCCAGTGTCCTGCACAGTCTGAAGGCCCTGAAACCCCCCGGGGCTGGGCACAGCCATTGCCCACTTCACCACAGCCTGCTACCACCACCACCTTCCCTGAAATTATCCCATTTGCGACCCATTTGATGTCATCAGTGAGAGATTCCCAGCAGCCATAGATGCTGTCAAACTTGCTCTTGGTGACAGAATCATTGACACTGATGGCTCGATGGCCGGCACCTTAGTGTCCCATTGGCCACCATCTTGCAGAGGTTGTAGATCCCAAGGTCTTCTCAGAGATGCCTTGGATATCTGACAGTGTCTGTGGGTATTTGGTGTGGATGAGGTTAGCAGGTCACCGCCATCCTCCGGAGTCATATTGAGGGGTTCATCTTTGAAGTGGAACATCTGCTCAGTGTGTCACAGGTCCTTGTCATCTGTCTCACCCTCCAGGCATACGCTGGAGTGCCAGCCTTGACGATGGCAGCACTGGCCCTAAGAAGAGAAGATGTTGCAGCTGGACCACTGCTCCTCAACACCCAGGGCCACCAGAGTCCCAGTGAGGACAGCAGTCTCCACAGTCATGCAAATCAAGTACACTTCAGTGCTTGGAGGCCAAGTGCGTCCCCCGAATACACATCAAACTTGGTGTCTCATTCTTGGCCATGCCCAGGGCCTTTCATCCCCAGGCAGCCAGACCTGCGTCCATTCTGTCTGCAAGGCAACTGGAGGTATTTTGGACTCCAAGCTCTACATGGAAAATCTGGGAAGCCCAAGCCCAACGATGCCACCTTCGGCCACTGCTCACCTCCACTGCCTGTCCTAGGACCCTGGTTCTTTAAGCCTCTTGCTGACCTTCCTCTCCAGCACTGTGGAGCAGGGCACAGTCCTCACTCCATTTCAGCAGGCAATCAAAGCTTCCATTTCATCTCCTTTCTTTGATGAGCTGGAAAATGAAATGCAAATGTCTTCCCTCCTCTTTGAGGACTTTTTCCTCCCTTCCCTGGAGCAAGGAAGAACGTGTCTTTCAGGTTATGGATCTGAGGAACCCAGGAAAACATGGGGTGAAAGATCAAGAGGAAGAAATGCTTGCCCAGACTAGAGGACTCTGCAGGTGTAGGGGACAAGATCTGAGAGTCTAGACAAGGGAGGGAGCCAGGCTCTGCTCCCCACACTTCCCTGGCACTCAGTAAGACTTCAGACAGAGGGACTTGGGTCATCTAAGCTACAGCGCCCTGGGCACTGGGTGTGTACTAAATGGGTCATGGAAACTTCTGTGAGCTGCCAAACTGGCTGGATGGTGCAGTTCAGGCATTGGGAAGGTCAGCAGTCGCTGGGTGGAGAGATGACTAAGAATGTGATAAGGGCAGCATCCTAGTGCAGGCAGAGCTTGTGACTAGGGTGGGGCCTTGGAGCTGTCAAAACGTTTGCAGTCATGTCTCCCAGCCCAGTAGATCGGCAAGAAGAAGTCAAACTGAGGTGGATGGTGACAGAGAGAAGCCAGGTCTCCGGCAGGCTTGAGCTGGAGAAGTGGTTCGGTCATTAACGAGCTTGACGGGAAAGCATGAAGACACGAGTTTGGTCTTCAGAATCCTAGTACAAGGGCTGAGCTGGTGGCTCCTGTTTGTGCTCCCGGTGTGGAGGATCCGGAGACAGACGGCTCCTGGGGACTCCCTAGCCAGCCAGCCTGACCTAATGGGAGAGCTACTGGCCAATGAGAGACCCTTCCTCAAAACAGCAAGAAGGGTGGCTTCTTGGGAACATGCATGATTCCTCTATATGTACAAACACATATGTGTACACATCCTTAACAAATACGCAGACACCAAAAGCAAAAACAAACAAACAAAAAACCAAACCTGCTATAGCACAGTAGATTACTAGCTTGGTGTGCCGGCTAGTCTTAGGTCAACTTGACACACGAACTAGAGTTATCTAAAAGGAGAGAAACTTAACTTAGAAAATGTCTCCATAAGATCCTGATGTAAGGCATGTTCTCAATTAGGCATTGATGGCAGAGGGTCCAGCCATCAGTTTTGGGTGGAGCAGTCCCTGGGCTGGTGGCCCTGGGCTCTGTAAGAAAGCAGGCTGAGCAAGCCAGTAGGCAGCACTGCTCCCCGGCCTCTGCCTCCAGGTTCCTGCCCTGGGTGCGTTCCTGCAACAGCATCCTTCAGAAACGGACTACGATGTGTAAGTCAAATGAGCCCTCTCCTCCACAAGTTGTTCTTGGGCACGGTCTTTCATCACAGCAGTAGATGACTAAGACGTGTGGGACTTAGTTCTAGTAGACAGTACGTGCTGGAGAAGGGACCGGGGCGGGTTTCCTGCCCCGCCTTGATGTACTCGCTCTGAGATGTGTTATTTTAAAGATTTGTTTAATGTGTATGAAATGTTAGACTGCATATATGTCTGTGCTCAAGCTAGTAATTGAAAATTGGGGTGTGATCTTCTTAGTAAGTACTGATACAAGGGTATGGCACTAAACACTTGTTCTTTGGGTAATTTTACCACCATGCAGGGACTTCTCATTAACCCTTCTGTGACCACACTGGAATTCCTTTTCCATCCCAGGCAACCCAAAAGCTGATGCAAGTATTGACTAAACGTTGTGGAGTGGTCCAGCAAGGGCCGAAGACAGAAGCAGACTCTGCACCTAGTGGTGTTGTGACTGGTGATCACCCACCCTCTCAGCGTCACGGACTCTTTGGAAATGGGCTAAAACAATCAAGTGTGAGGAGGGCATGAAATGTCTCCCCAGTATTTCCCCAGCATTTAACAGTTGTGGGCAACAACCTCCTACCCACTCTCCAGCCACATCTCCTGTTCTCTGAAAGATCTTCCTGCCTACAGCCCCCGGTTGAGATCTGAGGCAGAGAAGTTCTGTCCACCTCAAGGCTGGCTGGGAATCGGCCCTTTCTTCCGCCTGCTCTCTTCTTGCTGTGGTGGAACAGTGAGTGGTATGGACTGCAGCACACAGTAGGTGGGTGGCAGAGTTCTTTGTTCTTCATGGGAAGAGAGTTCACTCACTAGCCATTGTCTGTCCACTGTATGACACCAGCCAGAGGAGGAACTCGTCTGCCGGGAAGTGACCTCACTCCCTTCTCTCTGGTCAGCTCCCTTGCAGGACAGACAGGAAGTGACCTCACTCCCTTCTCTCTGGTCAGCTCCCTTGCAGGACAGACAGGAAGTGACCTCACTCCCTTCCCACTGGTCAGCTCACCTTAGGACAAACAGGAAGTGACCTCACTCCCTTCTCTCTGGTCAGCTCCCTTGCAGGAGACAGGAAGTGACCTCACTCCCTTCTCTCTGGTCAGCCCACCTTGCAGGAGACAGGAAGTGACCTCACTCCCTTCTCTCTGGTCAGCTCACCTTAGGACAGACAGGAAGTGACCTCACACCCTTCTCACTGGTCAGCTCACCTTGCAGGAGACAGGAAGTGACCTCACTCCCTTCTCTCTGGTCAGCTCACCTTGCAGGACAAACAGGAAGTGACCTCACTCCCTTCTCTCTGGTCAGCTCATCTTGCAGGACAGACAGGAAGTGACCTCACTCCCTTCTCACTGGTCAGCTCACCTTAGGACAGACAGGAAGTGACCTCACTCCCTTCTCTCTGGTCAGCTCATCTTGCAGGAGACAGGAAGTGACCTCACTCCCTGCCCACTAGTCAGCTCACCTTGCAGGACAGACAGGAAGTGACCTCACTCCCTTCCCTCTGGTCAGCTCACCTTGCAGGAGACAGGAAGTGACCTCACACCCTTCTCACTGGTCAGCTCATCTTGCAGGACAGACAGGAAGTGACCTCACTCCCTTCTCACTGGTCAGCAAACCTTACAGAACAGACAGGAAGTGACCTCACTCCCTTCCCACTGGTCAGCTCACCTTAGGACAGACAGGAAGTGGCCTCACACCCTTCTCACTGGTCAGCTCACCTTGCAGGAGACAGGAAGTGACCTCAGTCCCTTCCCTCTGGTCAGCTCACCTTGCAGGACAGACAAACAGACTCACACTTGGACCAGGAAGGACTCTTCAGCTTCACATGCCAGTTACCCTTCTCTGCTTTTCTCTATCGCTTGACTCTAGTTGGCCCACTGAGGAAGGGTGTGGGGAGTATTGTGGCCATCACAGTCAGACGCAGCAGATGCTCAGTCCAAGAGACGCAGATGAGTCCATCACCTAAAACCACAGAGGGAGACAGAGAGGAGAGCCCACAGCAGAGGACATGGCGAGACTGGGAGTCACTGGTGGAGGAAGAGCTTTCACCCTGCTGGGAAACTCAAGCTGCTATGGACCACTAATGACAAAGTCGCGAGCTCAAGAGTTACAACCCTGAACCACGGTTACATGGAAAACAAGTGGGTCGTGGTAAATAATCGGCTTACAGAGGAGGAAATCACCTCTAAGAAGATTTGATGGGACTCTGCTCTTCAGCCCTTCGTCTAGAGTGAGCCTGGCATCGTGGTCCCTGGAACCCTCAAGCATTTGAAAAAAAAAATGGAGGCTGGGGCTATAGCTTAGTTGGCAGAGTACCTGCCCAGCATGCACCAAGCCAGGGTTATTACCCCAGCACTGGATAAACTGAGCATGATGATCCCAGTGGTTGGGAAGTGGAGACAGGAGAATAGGGAGTTGAGATCAGAGCATGGAGTCCAAAACCCATAGTGGAGGGAAAGGACCAACAGAGATTGTCTTCTGACCTCCATGAGTGTGCATGGCACACGTGTGCTGGTGTGTCTCCCCTCACAACACACACAAATGAAGTTTAAGAAATAAATAAATATCGGGACTGGAGAGATGACTCAGACTGAGCACATATGCTGTTCTTCCAGGGAACCTGGGTTCCCATCACCTATAACTGCCTCTAGCTCCAGCTCTAGGGGATCTGACATCCTCTTCTGGCCTCCAGGGGCACAACAAACCCACATATATACACTGAAAAAAACAAACCTTTAAAAATAACAACAACAACAAAAGTCAGGCCATGCCAGCCAGAAAAACAGGTAGGCAGACCACCTGCCTGCAGAGCTCTCCCATTCCAACAGTTCCCAAGGACACAATCCTCCACCACTCCTCCACCCCAGTCCCCCACTGCCTTGTCTCCACCCCCAACTCAGGTAGACATCACCTGCTCAAGTGCAGCCACACCAGCTGGAAGAAAAGGTGGCAAACGCAGGTGGATATTCACTGCTGGACCAGAGGCCACCACAAGCTGACAGAACTTCAGACAGGCCACCAGTTCAAAGATGTACCCCACTCCCTCAGTGTGTCCCCTCTATCCCTGATCCCCTCCCCCTCCTCATCACCTTGTCCCAGCTCCCAGCCCCCAACTCAGATGCATACTCCCTACTGGACCAGAGGCCATGCTAGCCACCAGAAGTTCAACCCCCCAACTCGGATAGACCACACAAACCAGAAAACCAGAGAGCAAACAGAAAACAAGAAACAAACACCACCCAACAAAAACAAACTCAGAAGTTGTCACCTAGACCTATAATAATCCCAAACCCAGACGCCTAGATGGCAGAGTAACAATGTGATCAACAGAGCCAGGGTAATATGTCACCACCAGAGCCCAGCTATCCTACTACAATAAGACGTGAATATTCCACTGAAAAAGACCTTAAAATCAACTTTATGAATATGACAGAGGTCCTTAAAGAAAAAGAGAATAAATACTTTAGAGAAAGTGAGGGAAGACAAAAATGGAGAAAATAATAAATCCCTTCAAGAGAGCCAAGAAAAAAAAACAGATGAAGAAAACTGATAAAACTGTTCAAGACCTAAAAATGGAAATAGAAGCAATAAAGAAAACACAAACTGAGGGTATTCTGAAAATTGAAAATCTAGGCAAGTAAACAGGATCTACAGACACAAGCATCACCAACAGAATACAAGAGTTAGAAGAGAGACTCTCAGGCATTGAAGATATAACAGAAAAAAATAGA